AGGAGTGGCTGGTAGGTTTGAACCGCCAGCCTTCTGGTTAGCAGTCAAGTGCCTTAGGCACTATGCTACCAGAGCTCCTCCACAGGACTTAGTACCTTCTAAAGTGCTCTCTAATTTTCTTATTTATTATATTTGTTTTTTATTGTTTGACTCTTCTATTCCCTGTACAATATAAGCTCCACAGGTAAGGATTCATTGATATTTTCCAAGTACTTAAATAAATATTTATGAAATTACTGGTGGATGTGAGACCCAGGCAGTGCAAATAGAAGGTCTTTATTAGAATTGTTATGGCTGGTAAGAGGGAAGTCCTCTTTCTGTCTTAGATCCTGTCCCAAGGGACAAGACAAGCCTAGAGTAGTTCTTTGTGGCCGTCTTTGCCACCATATGGAGAGAATAAAGCCAGCAGAGAAAAACAGAGCTGAGAAATGGGAAAAAGAGAGAAAGGGAAGGAAGAAGAGAAAGAGAGAGAGAGAGAGAGAGAGATGAGATAACATCATTTGATTTCCTGAATACAGCCTTGCCTGAAGCCAGATACCCTTGGGTTTCTCGGTTATATAAGTCAATAATTTTTTTTTCTGGGGGGAAAAGGGATTGTGAGCTAAGATAGCTGAGCTAATTTCTTCTACTTGTACCCAAAAGAATCCTGACCTACAGACCCAAGCTTCTGTGTGGTTCTCAGTTGACTAGCAATACTTCTACCCCATTATCCCCATCTCAAGAAAAGCCCATTACAGTGCAGTGAAACAATGATGCCCATTTGTAGTAACTGGTTTTCAAAAAGTTTATCATTGGCAAATTTTGATATTTTAATTATTCTTCTTCATAACTTATTTGGAATACATCTGAAACCTATCTGTATACTTCTGAATACTTGATGCATCTTGGAAAACCTTTTTATCTCATTATATCAGATGTCATAAATTCCTATGTTCTGGTTGTCAGAAGGTAACATACTGTGTGAAGAGGGCCACTGTAAGGGGCAGATGGGATTACATGGATCATGGTGAAATGGACAGTTTGCAGTCTTTCATTAATGGGCAATTTCATCCCATTTTTGCTATGGTAGAATACAGGCTTAGTGTTGCTATTTCTTCTATTTGGTTAAGAACAGCTGAAAATCCAGATGTACTGTGTACGGGTCATATTTGGCTCACAAATTCCAACACCTAACTTTTCACCCTTCCTCCTCCATGTCCTTCCTACTTTGAATGGAAAGGGATTCAGGAGCCTTCAGGGTTTCAACTGACTTCAGGAACGGACTCCCAATTCTCCCCTTCCATTCTGGACAGGCTATTCTAAGTTAACAGCCAACCGAGACAGGTGAAGTTAAGGACTACTCTGAACTTTGTTGTTGTTGTTGTTATGTGCCAAACTAGCCCTCTGTTTTTTATAACACAGAGATACACTGTGCAGTGTAGTAAATTACTTTGTGTGGCTTTTCTACCCATAAGTCTTTGTAAACTCCAAGGTGGGATTTGCTATGAGCAAC